ACAACCAGAGTCCTTTATGCAACGTGGTGAATTACTTTGACTTATAAAAAATATTTTCTGACGCCAAATTGCCAACCCACTTTATATAGCGAAATAGTACTGTGTTAATTTTCCTCTGGTCAGTCACTTGGACTGCTCCCGAGCTCCTTCATGACTATGTTTACTGTGGTTTCATTCAATAAAATGGGCGGAACCAGGGGAAACCCCTTTCTTTCAAAAAAAGAAAAGAAAAAGAAAGAGTATGTTAATTTACTTTGGTTTTACTGCTCTGATTGTTAATGCTTGCCAAGAATGAAAGAAAGCAGAATACGGTGTTAGGATGTTCCGGTTCATATTTTCTGATATCGTATACCTGATATCGTATACCTGATGCCAATTTTCAAGCTATGCAAATTCTGGCTCTTGGACCTTCATGAGAAGTGTATAACCAACCTTTAGTTCTTCTCTTCTATTGCGTGACAAGTCCCTTCCATTTGATTGGTTGTACAGAGCCTCATGCAGTCTTGCTTATCCGCAGCATGCTGAATGAAAATCTGCAACACTGTTAGTGTGCTTGTCTGATGTGTACGTCAACACAATTGTTTCAATGGCATTATTCTTCAGAGCACATTTTTTACGCATCATTCAGAGCACATTTTATAACCAATTGGGGTAGAAGCTATGTTTATTTTTGTGCTCAGTTGCAAGCTCTGATTCTATCATGCTAACTCCTTTGCGCTGGCTTTCTTGATTCCAGAGGGTATGCGCCATCTGCCTTGGCAGTATGAGGACAGGGCACGGACAGGCCCTGTTTACTGCTGAATGCTCCCATAAGTTCCATTTCCATTGCATCACTTCAAATGTTAGGCATGGCAACCATATCTGCCCAATATGCCGTGCCGACTGGAAAGAACTGCCCTTCCAGGGACCTCAACTTGCAGATGCCACTCATGGGAGAGCTAGAGTAAGCCCGGTAAATTGGCCCCAAGACGACGGACACATGGCTGTTATCCGCAGGCTTTCCAACTCATACAGTGGAAATCTGCTGGAGCAATTTCCTGTCTTCCGTACTCCTGAGGCAGACATTTTCAATGACGATGAGCCAATAGATATTCAGTCTGAAACTGTGGAGGAGAACAATGCAGTTACTGGTTTGGTTGAAATCAAGACATATTCAGAAGTGCAAGCCATACAGCAGTCAGTGACCCAGAAGGTCTTTTCTATCTTGATCCATCTCAAGGCTCCAAAGTCCTTGGAGTCCGTGAGCTCCCGTGCACCTCTTGACCTTGTGACCGTGCTTGATGTCAGTGGCAGCATGAAAGGGGCCAAACTTGCGCTTCTCAAGAAGGCAATGGGCTTTGTCATCCAGACGCTTGGACCCAATGACCGGCTGTCTGTCATTGCCTTCTCATCTACGGCACGGAGGCTCTTTCCCCTTCGCCAAATGAACGTCAACGGACGAATGCAAGCCATGCAGGCTGTGAACTCCCTTGTTGATGGTGGCGGCACAAACATTTCTGATGGGCTAAAGAAGGGTGCTAAAGTCATTGAGCACCGTCGGCTGAAGAATTCTGTTTGCAGCATCATCCTTCTGTCAGATGGTCAAGACACATATTCAGTACCAACCTTTGACGACGGGGTTCAGACAAACCACAGCATGCTTGTTCCTCCCTCAATCCTGCCTGGAACAGGTAATCATGTGCAAATCCACACCTTTGGTTTCGGTGCAGATCATGACTCGGCTGCGATGCATGCTATTGCTGAGACATCTAGCGGCACATTCTCATTTATTGATGCTGAAGGCTCAATACAGAACGGATTTGCTCAGTGTATTGGTGGCCTCCTCAGTGTTGTGGTCAAGGAGATGCGGCTGGGCGTCGAGTGTGTAGACGAAGGCGTGGTACTTACCTCCATCAAGTCAGGCGGCTATGCAAGTGAAGTAGCCATGGATGGACGTAACGGGTCAGTCGATATCGGTGACCTGTATGCAGATGAAGAGAGGGGGTTTCTGATCACCCTACATGTCCCAGCTGCACAGGGGCAGCAGACTGTACTGATCAAACCAAGCTGTACATACCAAGATGCAGTTACAACAGAGAGCATTCAGGTACAGGGTGAAGAAGTGAGTGTTGAGCGTCCTGCATACTCTGTGGACTGCAAAATGTCTCCTGAGGTTGAGCGCGAGTGGCACCGTGTTCAAGCTATGGAGGACATGTCCGCTGCGCGGGCTGCAGCCGACGGAGGCGATTTCTCCCAGGCCGTGTCGATCCTCGAAGGCCGCACGAGGATCCTGGAGTCACAGGCAGCACAATCTTCAGACAGCCAATGCCTGGCGCTGATCACAGAGCTGAGGGAGATGCAGGAGAGGGTGGAGAGCCGGCGGAGGTATGACGAATCAGGAAGGGCCTTCATGCTGGCAGGCCTGAGCTCACACTCATGGCAGAGAGCCACGGCACGCGGCGACTCGACGGAGCTCAACACCCAAATTCACACCTACCAGACGCCGTCGATGGTCGACATGCTGCACCGCTCGCAGACTCTTGTGCCCGCCGTCGTTGAAATGCTGAACCGCTCCCCGACCGTTGCTCCTTCACGCGGCTCCGGCAGGTCGGTGAGGTCGACAAAATCTTTCTCCGAGCGGCTGGCGTGACATGACCTGACGTTGCTTATTCATCAGAACCAAGTTTCAAGAAATAACCTGTGAAGTGGTTAGGTGATTTGAGACTATCCGAATTACTTTTTAGTTTGATTATTCCTACAGCTATTGCTTCGATATATTTATCTTAAATACTCTAGTGGCCTAGTGGGCATGGGGTTAGAAAAATTGATCTTGGGACATACAAGTACAAGTAGTTTGCTGTACATGATCAGCGACGCTCGAAAGGGAATGATAAATGTCATACCTGATAGCGGTGAAAATTGTGTTATTTCCTTCTTCTTTCCGTTATCTTTGGTGTTGTTTTGTCTTGCAAAAATGTCACCCTTGAATTGATGAGGATGGTGAAAGCTTTTAAGCGTCGGTTAATAACAACATCCTTGTGCACTGCATTCTTGGCCGACAGTGTTGGTTATGTCTGTTCAATTTTCTGAATTTGGCTGGCTTGTGCAGAAAATATTATTATTTTCAAACTGAGGAGTAGAGTTTGCCTATTTCATTCGTCATGAAATTCATATGAGGTTCCTACTGAAGATCTCAGCCGCCACCTAAAGAGGCAGTTTTACTAGTTTAACTTGCAGAGCGCATATTCCTCTTCTCTAAATAACAGGCCAAAAATCTAACGGGTGAGAAGCTTGATCAAGTACACTAGTAGGATCACAAGGGAAGATACGAAAGCAAGCCAAATACTCCCTCCGTCTCACAATATAAGATCGTTCTAGCTTGAAAAGTGATCTTATATCGTGGGACGGAGGGCGTAGCCCGTATCGCAAGAGCAACCCCTACAACAATTATCCCCTAATCTTTCCAGAGAGACTGAAAAAAAATCCAAGAACATGGTTCATGATCCAACTCAAGTTCATCTTTATCCCAAACGCACAGCTCCCTCAAGTATATATACCTCGTTAGCGAGCAACAAATGAACTTGCAAGTGATCTGTATCTTCCGCGTAGTCACGGAAACTGCACTTCTAGTTCTCACTACCACTCCAACCTCTCTTATGGATGTCATCTTTAGTCAAAATACTACTATTCTTGAACATTAGCCGAAGAAAAACTTTAATTTTCAAAGGCACTTTTAGGAACCAGAGTGCCCTTAAAGGACTCTAGTTAACCTTGTAAGGCTTCCATCACTAGCTTAGATACATCGGCTTAGCTGCAATCTGACCAAATACTCCCTCCGTCCCACAATATAAGATCGTTCTAGCTTGAAAAACGATGTTATATCGTGGGACGGAGGGAGTAGCTCGTATCGCAAGAGCAACCCCTACAACAATTATCCTCTAATCTTTCCAGAGTGATCTATATCTTCCGCGTAGTCACCGAAACTTCACTTCTCACCACCACTCCAACCTCTCTTATGGATGTCATCTTTAGTCAAAATGCTACTATTCTTGAACATTAGCCGAAGAAAAACTTTAATTTTCAAAGGCACTTTTAGGAACCAGAGTTTTCTTAAAGGACTCCAGTTAACCTTGTAAGGCTTCCATCACTAGCTAGGTACGTCGGCTTAGCTGTAATCTGGCCAGAAGAATTAAGCCCGGAGCCCCGGATCGACATCAGTCACTACAATTATGATCTTGCAGTTGCTTCCATAAGTCAGCCAACTCATCCCTCAAACTCCTCTCTAAACCTTGATGATCGATGTGTGTACAAGTGTATTAGCTACAGATAGATTTTGTTACTTAGATCGCCCGTGTTTCAGTCATTATGTAACTGAATTCATATGGTGAGTTGAGCAACTCGGTCAAGCTCCTGTTCTCCCATATATGCACAGGAAAACATTAAGCATAAGGCCGATTGGATCATAATAACATGCTATATATCCACTGCCAAGCATTGAGTAACTATGTGTACGACTGAAAACCAATTGTGAAGATAGGTGTGCATGGCCATTTTTTGTACAGCTAATTAGCTACAAGGTGCATAAGATATTGCCAAGTGGATAGGGATCTGCACTGCTTGTTCATGAACCGAAGAAAATGTGCTTGATTGACAGAGAATCGTAAATATGTCTGAATCAAAATTACATGATGCTGCAATTTACGAGCTAGCTATGTTGACATGCTAACTGAAGAGGTTGGTAGTGGTACAGTGCACCTGATCATGGGCTCATCATGGCTCATGGTCATGGGTAAAAGGGTAAACATGTACACGAGACATGCATGAAGAAGAACTATTGGCATGCGTGCGTGATCATGCATGCATGATCCTTCCTAGATATCACCGCCGGGATCATATACCTGCGGCCAGTAGTACTGAAATTAACCTGCAGGCAGTATTGTATACCTCTCCTTCTTTCTTTCTTTACAGCGGGACACATGCACATTGCCGTAGTAGTGGTAGTAGCACACACACTAGCTAAGCTAGTACTCGCCTGAGTCACCTCCGCTGGAGCCGTCCTCCCCGTCGACGAGCCGCCAGAGGCTGTCCCACAGCGCGTCCTCGTCGTCGGCCGGGAGCGGGAGGTCGAGCACCGCCGACGCAGCCGGGCACGGGCAGTAGCACCCTGCAGTCTCCATGCTGTTCATGTTGTCGCCGGTGGTGATCACGGCCTGGTCCTCCTCCGGCGGGCTCTGCTGCTGCATCATCATCACCTGCTGCTGCTGCTGCTGGTGGTGGTTCTCCTGTAGCTGCATCTGCATCTCCTGCTGCTGCTGCTGGAGGAGGTGCAGCGCGTGGAGGTACTGGCGGTGCTGCTGCTGCTGCTGGAGCTGGTACTGGTGCAGCAGCTGCGCCCTGGCCCGCCTGGACGGCCGCGCCTTCTTGAAGTGCGTCCGCCAGTAGTTCTTGATCTCGTTGTCCGTCCTCCCCGGCAGGCACCGCGCGATCGCCGACCACCTGCATCCGTCCATCCATTCACCCACGCGTCGCTCAGTTAGGCACCGCCCAAGCACCCAAAGATACAGTACGTGGGCATCTACTACAGATGCTTGCACTGTACACGTTCGATAGATGGATGAAATGCCGTATGAAGCGTGCGTGCTTACCTGTTGCCGAGCATGGCGTGGAGCTGGAGGATGACGGTCTCCTCGTCGGCGGTGATCTTGCCCCGCTTCAGGTCCGGCCGGAGGTAGTTCACCCACCGGAGCCGGCAGCTCTTGCCGCTCCGCCGCAGCCCGGTGAGCTTGGCGACGGAGTTCCAGCTGCCCTCGCCCTGCTGCTGCACGTACTCCGTCAGCAGCCGGTCCTCCAGCGCCGTCCATGGCCCCTTCCTCCACGCCCCCTGCAGCACCGCGCTGCTCATCGCGTCCATGGCCATGCAGCTCCCTCCCTAATATACTATCACTCCTTCAACTGGCCAATCTCTATTGCTAGTTAATTAGCCACTAGGATTAATACTATTCGATGGCTGTGGCTACGCTATCTATTGCTGAGGTTGCTGGCTGCGGTTCCCGGCTTGTATGACAGCTAGAATCTCCCCGCGCCGTGCCCGCCATTTATACCGCCGGACCGGGCTCCATCATCTCGATGGCGAGCTTGCCGGTTGAGGAGATCGGCGTCGCGTCCTTGTCACCAGCAGCGACTAACAATTCCACTCCCACTTGCTAAGCTTATCGACATATAATATTCCTCTTCTCGCTGACAAAAAGCTCCCCCTCTTCTATAGCTACTAGAATGTTGTGTGGTGAACTGGTGATGCAATGCAAGTTAAATCTCGCAAGCATCTTTACCCCACCTTTACTGTTTATAGTTTATTGTATCCTAAATTCTGATCGAGCTGATCAATCATCCCACATATGATGATGGTTATCGATCTGATGACCTTTTGCGCGTCTACGTACGTGTGGTGTCAAATACTACTATATATACTGTAAGCATCCACTGTATTTTCAAATGGAGATGCTAGCTGCTGGTCTTCTTCTCAAGTACTATAGTAACCTAGCTGGTATTTGACTGGTGCTTGTTTTTGTACAAGTCGCTGACTAGCGGGCCCCACAACACGTATTGGACCGGAGCTAATTTTTTTGCCGAAAGTGAAAAAATTAACTATGGTTAGGTATAGTCTTGTGATGCTGATTAGCTCGCTTCAAAAAGGAAAAGAAATTTTTTGTACGCTGCGACGCGTTGTTTTGAAGCATGCACTCTCACGAAGCAAATTATTTCGCTAGTCTTTGGATTATCAAATGTTGAGTTGCACGCTTACCTAACTGGTCTAGTAGTATATTCTACGAGACTATGAGTAAGATACTACTCTAGTTTTGCAAACACATTGTGAAGACGAAAAAGTAAAAGCGAAAGGTAAGATGTGTCTAGCTAAGCATGCATTGCAATTTTCAACCTGCAAGTGGAGCGGACAATCTTTTACATCAACGAAGCCAGGACGCGGTTAAAGTCAGTGTTAACTATAAGTAAACAACCATTTAGGGACTTACGGTCAATGCCCCAAAGTGGTACGTAGCTATATTGGGTAATGGAGGTCAATGTTGACCAGTCTTAAACGCGTACTTCATAATTAGTAGCTCAATCCAGAGGAAAGCTGCCACACAACTCATATTTTCAACCTAGTGGAGGAATCGATCCGTTAGTTTATATAGCAGCCTGTTTAATTAGTAGGGCTCGACCTTGAGCTTAAAGCAAATTAAGCTGCCCATGCAAACAAATAGTGTAGGCCGAAGGTTCTTCTTAGCAACAGTATTAGTTTTATTTATGTGTTTTCCAATAACCGCCTTGCATGGACGTGGATATTTTCCGAAAACTACAAACTGAGTTAAAGTAAAAAAAATCCAAAAAGCTACAGTGTTTAAATATTAAAGTGAGCCATGCACCAGCAAGGTTTTTTCGCAAAAAGAAATGTACCGGCAAGTTTTTTGTAAAAAAGTCATTGGTTTGCAGGCTTGGTACAAACACTGAGGAGTTAGAGCAACTCTAGCAGACCCGGCAAAACACGTTTGCCGTTTCACAAACATCTCGTTTGCAGGTCGAAAACTAGCGCGGCCGAACAGAAACCGTATCTAAAACTGCATAATTTGAAAAAACAGTTTTGTAGGAGAAATTGCACCTCGTTGACGCGAGTAGTTCATCACATACTATATAGATTTTACGTGATCAAACACTACAAACGCTAGTTCATACTATATACTACACTAATACTAGTACTAGAGGGCTGGGGATCTGACGGCGGCGAGGTCATGGCCATGGACGACGCCATGGAGGAGCTCAATCCTCCTTGCCGGAGCTGCAGAGGTCGATGTACTTCGCGGCCTGCTCCTCGCGGATGAGGCGCCACTCCTCGTCCTTCTCCTTGGCGACGAGGTTGGCGGCGACCGCCTGCCGCCTCTGGAGGTCTTCGAGCTCCTCCGCGTGGCGCCGGCGCTCCGCCTCCTCGCGCACGCTCCGCCTCCTCGCGCATGCTCCGCCTCCTCGCGCACGCTTCGCTCGACAATGGCGGCCGCAACCGCGTCGACGTCGGAGACGAAGTCTTCCGGCCCGACGACTTCGCGGTGGCCGAGCGGAGCGGGCTCCTCGGGCTCCTCCTTGACGGGGACGAACTCGAAGTCGTCCGGCTCCTCCGACCACTCCCTCTTCACTGGGAGAAAGCCCGCGCCGGAAGAGGAGGAGCTCCCAGCGTAGGAAGATCTCGCCGCGGAGGAGAAGGACGCTCGCCGTCGGTCATACTCCTCCGTCTCGCGGACGCAGAAGCAACCCTATTAGTTTTATTTATGTGTTTTCCAATAACAGCCTTGCATGGACGTGGATATTTTCCGAAAACTACAAACTGAGTTAAAGTAAACAAAAATCCAAAAAGCTACAGTGTTTAAATATTAAAGTGAGCCATGCACCAGCAAGTTTTTTTCGCAAAAAGAAATGTACCAGCAAGTTTTTGTAAAAAAGTCGTTGGTTTGCAGGCTTGGTACAAACACTGAGGAGTTAGAGCAACTCTAGCAGACTCGTAAAATCTCGACCCGCAAAACATGTTTACAATTTCACAAACATCTCGTTTGCAGGTCGAAAACTAGTGCGGCCGAATATAAACCGTATTTAAAACTGCATAATTTGAAAAATCAGTTTTGCGGGAGAAATTGCACCTCGTGGGCGCGAGTTGTTCATCACATATTACATAGATTTTACATGATCAAACACTACAACGCTAGTTCATACTACATACCACATTAATACTAGTACTAGAGGGGTGGGAATCTGACGGCGGCGAGGTCACAGCCATGGACAACGCCGTGGAGGAGCTCAATCCTCCTCGCCGAAGCTGCACAGGTCGATGTACTTCGCGGCCTTCTCCTCGCTGATGCGGCGCCACTCCTCGTCCTTCTCCTTGGCGGCGAGGTTGGCGGCGACAGCCTGCCGCCTCTGGAGGTCTTCGAGCTCCTCCGCGTGGCGCCGGCGCTCCGTCTCCTCGCGCACGCTCCGCTCGGCAATGGCGGCCGCAACCGCGTCGACGTCGGAGACGAAGTCTTCCGGCCCGACGACTCTGCGGCGGCCGAGCGGAGCGGGCTCCTCGGGCTCCTCCTTGACGGGGACGAACTCGAAGTCGTCCGGCTCTTCCGGCTCCTCCGGTCACTCCCTCTTCACGGGGAGAAGGCCCGCGCCGGAAGATGAGGAGCTCCCGGCGTAGGAAGATCTTGCCGTGGAGGAGAAGGACGCTCGCCGGCGGTCGTACTCCTCCGTCTCGCGGACGAGGAACTCGCCGGCGGCGACAGGCCGCAGTTGGTCCACTTCCGGGTCCCGCGCTTCCTCGCGTCGTCCGACCGGACGCGCCGCTCACGCTCGGGGTTGCTTCCGCCGCCGGAGCCGCGTTCGGAGCTCCACATGCGGCCCCACATGGCGGCTGAGGCAGGGCGAGGTGGTCGCCGGTGGCGAGAAATGTGGAGAAGGGGGTGGGGGATTGCGTGGCTCGGCGGCGGCGGGGATAGGGTTTCGACTCGCAAACGCACCGCGGAACCGTAGATATAGCGGTTGGGGCGTGCGGTTTGCGGGCCGCGGCAAATTTTTTTATGGGTCGGGTGAGTATGTGGACTCTGTTCAGGCCGGAAAATTGGACCGAGCCCGCATACTCGCCGGAATTGGGCGGGGTCTGCTAGAGTTGCTCTTAGAGTAGCATTTTGGGTTCTGAAAAAAGTGCTTGGTTTTGGGTTTTTCTTTCACAACTCACAAGTCAGCTGTTATTGTCACCAAAATTTGAAATCTAGAAACATACCGAGTCAATTGTTTTATTATTATTTTTCTATGAATGCACATTTCTTAAAAGGGCCATGTGATCCCAAGAAACAAATACGAGTTGTGGTGAACTTATGCCCTTTTTCATCGCCAACAAATGTACATGTGCATGTGCAAAGCACACACAACTAACTAAAACATAAGAAATGTTAAAATCGTTTATCATTTGTAAATATATCATTTGTTACTATTTTGTACATCTTTTCTGACATCAATATTAAATTAATTATGCGTGATAATAAAGATAGGCTGGTGTGTTTTAATTAAGCGTCCTTCAGGAACAATAAAATTGAAATTTATATCATTTTTTGTACAAAACATGTATACCTCAAATAATATCATGTGAAGAAACTCCATAGGCACGCAATATAACCCTTCTTGTGTGTGCAATGCAGATTAATTGGTGAGTAATTAGGAGGTGAGAAATACAATTAGGACCATGAGACTAAAAAAAGTTAGGTTTTTTTTGTTGGCACATACTCTTTTTTACATCTAATTTCCTATTCATATGTTTTTCTATATATGTGTTTTCCATTTTTCCCTATCATGCATTTTTAGGACCACACGACTCAAAGAGACCTTGTTGAAGACAGTTCATGCATGACCCCACGAAAAGAAAAACAATACTAGTCATGTTCCAAATGATCACGAATTGGAGAAGTTTAACCCTAATTTAATGAGAACCATATATGCTCATCCTAAAGTTATTTGCCTATGAGAAGCTATGCAGTCTCTTTGGATTATAGGAGTGACACAAGAGTGGAATAAAAGCATGAACTTGACATGAGTTACTACAAATGCACAATAGAGGATCACAAAACACTTTAAGCAAAACCCAGGAGTGATCATTTGTATAAAACATAAAACAAACACTCTCCAAGCAAAACATAAAACAAACACGGAAAGAAGGCATCCATCCTACACAAATGAGTGGGAAAAAAGAGGTCTTAGTTGATGTTAAAGTTCCTTGCAAACTTTTTGTTGCAGCGAAAATCCTCCGAAATTAGAAGCATAGGAAAGTATAATCTATGAGAATTTTGCAGTGTTTGTCCTAATATAAACAAAAGGGTGTGGCTAGTTCTCAGTCGA